AAGAAATAACTGATAAAAAGCATGGAAAAGAGAGTAGAGGGGGAGTGCAACTGTTGCTAAAATGATTGCACAATGGGTTTAAAGGGGCGTGACAGATGACGAGAAACGAGCCAACCATAAGAAAAGGTAGTGGTAGAGTACAGGCAGTGTCGTTCTCGCCTCAAGTATGGCCCTGGATCGCGTCCTACGCAGGCTAATACGCCGATAAGATATCAAATTTGTCTGGCAGAACAAAACACCTACTTTCTGCTTTCAGAAAACCAGAAGCGCGTCGAGTGCAGACCACACACCACAAGTGACGACGGCCTCCAAGTAAATCTGGTAACTAGTGATTCATAGTGATAGCTGATTTTGGTAAATGATAGTTGTAATTAGTGACAACTGATAGAATACAACTGCAACAGGCTAATCATTTCATTGGCAGAAAACATTCATTTTGTGGAGGCCGTCGTCACTTGTGGTGTATGGTCTGCACCCGACGCTCTTCTCGTTTTTTGAAACCGAGTATCATTGTTTGGTCACACTACCCCGTTAACTGCTCTGTTGCTCTGCAGAATGCTAACCACTGCTCTAATAAAGTCACTGGAATCACTGGAGAAGAATGCGTGACTTTAGGTCCGAAAAGGCGTGTCGCTAGAGAGCGGTTTTACAGCATCAGTGGAGATCCTTTATTCTATGAGAGGTTTCCTTGAGTCTGGGAGTGTCACAATTTCAGGATGAAGGTAGGGGGGGGGGTTGGGTGAGAGTAAGCGTCTGGCAAAAGTTGTAGTACGCAAGGTCAAAACCGCTTGCCCTTTCTCGTGCCTGAAGTACGCCAATCCTGAGGCGGGAGCCATCGAAAAATTGACAATGCTCGTATAAAATCCATATTCGTTTTGCGCAACATTCTACCGTAATTCAGTTATGGATTGTGAATCTAGTCTTGCTTCTAGTGTGTGTCATTAGGTCCGTTTTGAGTTGCGAACAATTGCCGCTGCAAAAAGTAAGGGAATCTTGATATTGCTAAACAAAATATCCAAACAAGATTGAGGGTGGACGTTTTGCAGTAATAAATAGCGACGATTAGTCACAAATAGTAATGCACCTGCCAGGGAAAAACCGGTGATGTGCATTGCTATCGGTTTTTGGCCGGGGCTAGAAGTAAGGGTTTTATTTTTGGCCTAGTACTGTCTACGTCACTTCTTGAGCCCAACTCCAGTTAGGGAAGTGCTGGGTCCCAAAAACCATTGGGCCGCCAGGACCAGATTCTAATCTACAGGCGGCGTCACGTACTCGTACCGACACCACGCTTCTAGCAGCTGCGCTTCATCCATCTTCCCGACCCCTGAACTCTGAAAGGTGTAAAAAATCACAAGATGGGAATAAGGTGAGCAATTTACAGCCAATATCACGGTTCAGCTGCGTCCCCCCCCCCCCCCCTCCCCCCCCCCCCCCATTCAACACAAGTTTAGGGTTTGCGGTCGCCTGTGATCATATCATCTTTAGGTGATCTACTTTTTTTACAAGAACATCTTTATTATCTTTCATGGAAAATATGTAAATCAAACACGATCGATACTGAGCATTCATGAGAATGAATAGATCAAATATAATCAAATATAAGAACACTTTTCATCAATACGGATTTTTATAAGTCACTATTTACTTCCTATTTGAACAGATCCGGCAGCTGTGGTAATTGACATTTCTCCGCCGAAATCACATCGCTGATATCCACAACTCGTCCTTGATAGCGAACCTACAAGGGCAGTTGCTTGATTGTAATCGAGAAAAAAGCTACATGAAAAAGCCACAGCTGGAATGGATACGCCATGCCATATTCTATTAAACCCGGAAAGGCGGCAGTGATTATCTGCATATGGAGCTGCTACAATAGCTTATCTGAAGCATGTGTTAAGGAAGAAGATTACAAAGTGATCAGACTATTCGAGTAAAAGGATAAAGCATTTGCCGTTGATCAATCCCTTTTTGGGATGCGGCACGCATTCTACTTCCATTTGTACATTCGTAGTGGCGTTTGAATGCGATGTGGCCTATACAATGACTTGCGGGGCCAGCCGATGTACAAGTCAGTGTTTTTTATCCTCCCAGACAAGTCTGGTACCAATTAACCGACCCCGGAGGGATGGAAGGCTTGGTTGGCCCGGGCGACTCACGACCAGGATTTGATCCCCGGACCGCGCGTGCTAAAGCGTGCCACTTGCCTCTACACCACTTACGCCCTGTTCGAGTTGCGCCATGCATTGGATTTTTTAGTTATTCACTGCAAATGTATGCGTGCAAATCTTCTCAAAATACCTTGCAGTACAGTTTATTATTTGTTTATTTATTTATTTATTTATTGAATGTGGTTTTGGCACACAATGTTCAGCGTAAGGTGTTAATACACCACAATTGAAGCGCAGAGAAAGGGTGAAAGGAGAAAGCATTTGGCTTGGTCATTTCCTCTTTGGAATGCGCCACGCATCCCAAAAGGATCCTATTCGGAACCATAAGGCGTTTGAATGCGATGTGGCCTATACAATGACTTGCGGGGGCCAGCCGATGTTCAAGTCAGTGTTTTTATCCTCCCAGACAAGTCTGGTACCAATTAACCGACCCCGGAGGGATGGAAGGCTTGGTTGGCCCGGGCGACTCACGACCCAGGATTTGATCCCCGGACCGCTCGCGTGGTAAGCGCGCCACTTGCCACTACACCACTTCCGCCCAGGAGTTGATGACCTGGCCCAGAAGAGATAGAGGACTCAGACTATTTTGACTTGATTCGACAGATAATGCAGGAGAGACGGCGCTCCCCAGCCTATTTGTGAAACTCGTGCTCAAAAGCTTTCTCAATCCCCACCGCCACTTCTCTGCCCTCGTACCTGCCACAGATCATTTCGAATAATCCCTACTAATGATTAAATATAAAAGTCAAAGTACCTCTAAGAATACACTGTCTGGACTGTTATCGCATTCGAGTCGCGATCCAATCGGCTCTCCTTGAACGATTCGTTTTCGTCCAAATCCGAGATCTTCTCGTGTTTTCACGTTATACAGACGTGCTTCGAATCCTTAATGAACGATTCTCGTATAAGAATTGGGCGTAAAAATAACTAAAATATTCGACAGTAAAGTGTGCTGAATGTGAATCCGAAAATGCTTCACATCAAAGGCTGAAATGGGGCGTATCCGCGCAGGTTTACGTGACTTGTTGTTAATGTAGTGAGAGGAACGTCTTAAAGCTAAGGAATCAAAGTTTCCGTG